TCATTTTAAATGTATCTATTTCTATCCTTAGCTTTATTAGTTTTTGCTTCATGTATTTTGAAGTTCTGTATTTTGGTTCAAGCACATTTAGGATTGTTATGTTTTCCCAGGGGATTGATCCTTTTTTAAATTATGTAAAGTCCCTCTTTGTCTCTAGTAATTTTCTTTGTTCTGAAGGATACTTATCTGACATTAATATAGCCACTCTGGCTTTTTAAAAAATTAGTTTGCATGGTATATTCTTTCCTATCCTTTTACTTTCAACATATATATGTCATTGTGATTCAAGTGAGTGTCTTATAGTCAGCATATGGTTGTATTATGTTTCTTTGTGTGTGTGTGTGTGTGTGTGTGTGTGTGTGTGTGTGTGTGTGTGTGTGTTATCCTATTCACCCAATATATGTCTTTTCGCTGGTGGTGTTCAGACCATTTATATTTAACATAATTCATGATACATTAGGGCTTAAGTCTGCCACTTTATTATTTTTTTTTCTGTTCATCCTCTCTTTCTCTTTTCTCACCCTCCTATGACTTTTTTTTTCCTTTTTTATGAGTTGGTGTCTCACTCTGTTGCTCAGGGTGGAGTGCAGTGCCATGCTCATGGCCACCTCAGCCTCGACCTGCTGGGCTCAAGTGATCCCTCCACCTCAGCTTTCCAAGTAGCTGGAATTACAGGCACATGCCATCACACCTGGCTAGTTTTTTTTTCATTTATTGTAGAGATGAGGTCTCACCATGTTGCCCAGGTTGGTCTCGAACCCGTGAGCTCAGGCAATCCTCTCACCTCGGCCACTCAAAGTGCTAGGATTATAGGTGCAAGCCACTGCACCTGGCCCCTATGAGTTACTTTTTAAAATATGACTCTTTGTATTAGTTTCTTAGTGGCTGTTCTATGCATTAAGATATAACTGTGTAACTTATCACTTATATCAGCATTTACTATTTCCAATGAAATGTAGAAATCTTCTGTTTAGTTCCCTTTACTCTTCACACTTTAAAAATATAATTTTATTAAGTCTTCCACAAATATTGGTCACCACAAAAGATGGTACTGGAATTTTGCTTTAACTATCAAGTACAGTTTAAGAATTTCCTGAGAATGAGAATACTCTATTAATTATACTTACCCCTGTTTTTACCCATTCTAATGGGTATTTTCTCTAATTTTCTTTCTGAAGTACCAAGAACTTCTTTTCTCTCTCTCTCTTTTTTTTTTTTTTTTTGTTTAGAGAATTTCTTTTAGACATTCTTTTCGGTTTGCAGGCCACAAATTCTCAGTTTCCCTTCACATGAGAATGCCTTTATTTCCCCTTCATTCCTGAAGGATACTTTCACTAGATACACAATTCTGGGTTGACAGTCCTTTTCTTTCAGTATTTGAAAAGTGCTATGCTACTTCCTTCTGAATTCATGATTTCATATGAGAAATCTGTTGTCATTCAAATTGGTATTCCATATAAGTAATATGTCCTTTTTCTCAGTCTGCTTTCAAGATTTTTTTATTTTTTTGGTCTAATTATATTTATGCTGTGTTTTGGCAAGAATTTACAGGGTTTATCCTATTTGGAATTTGTTTAACCTCTTAAATATGTATGCTTATGCCTTTCACCAATTTGGGGGAGTTTTCAGCCAATAGATCTTTAAATACCTATTCAGTCCCACTCTGTCTCCTCTCCTGGGACTGCTGATGATATGAATGTTAGCTCTTTTGCTATTGTCCCACATATCCCCGAGACAATTCATTTTGTTCTAGTCTATTTTCTCTTTGTTGTTAAAATTGAATGCTTTGATTGATCTGTCCTAGAGTTCATTGCTTGTATCCTGGCCATCTTCACTCTACTACTGAGTTGATCAGCGAGCCTTTTATTTTGGTGATCATATTTTTTCAGTTCTATAATTACCATTTGGCTCTATTTTATAACTCTTATTTGTGTGATTTTCTATTTTCTAATGTTTCAAGAGAATTATCAATTTCTTGTTAAAACAGTTTTGTCATTCCAACATCAGATTCATGTCAATATTGGCTTCTGTTGATTGTTTATACTCATTCATGTTGTGATTTTTCTGGGCTCTTGGAATAACAGAGCTTTAACTTATTGCATTTTGGGCATTATGGATTTTATTTTATGAGACTCTGGATCTTATTTCATCTTTTTCTTAGAAATAAGTCTCTGCTGAGGTGGAGCATGCAAGGGTCAAGTGGGTACAAGTAGAGCAGAAGACTGACCTCCTATTTGGCCTTGCTGAAATCATGAAGGCTTGGTTATTCCATTAGTGTTTGACGGGAGTAGGTGAGGTACTGTCATAAAAGTTTTCTGTGGTCCTTTGGCAAGAGGAAACAGGGGGAGCGTTTTTGTCTGTGCCTGTTGTTGATCTAGATGGGAAGATTCTGGAGTCCTCTACTTGGGATATATGGGAATCAATAAGGCAGCCCAGGAAACTCATCTCCTACATATCTTTATGTCCCATAGTCCCTAGGCATTTAACTCTCTCTTTTTTTTGTTTAAAACTCTTCTTATATAGGTTGTGTATCTCTAAACCAAAAATCTGGATCCAAAACCCGAAATGCTGAAAAATTCAAAACTTTTTGACAAGCTCAAAGGTTATGCTCAGGCCAGGTTTTGTGGTTCAGCCTGCAATCCCAGCACTGTGGGAGGCCAAAGCGAGTGCACTGCCTGAGCCCACGGGTTCCAGGCCAGCTCAGACAACTTGGTGAGGTCTCATCTCTACAATAAATCAAAAATTAGCTGGGCGTGGTAGCACATGCCTGTAGTTCCGGTTATTTGGAAGGCTGAGGTAGAAGGATCATCTGAGACCAGCAGGTCGACGCTCAGGTGACCATGAGTCTTCCACTGCACTTCAGCCTGGGTGACAGAGTGAGACTCCAACTCAATAAACAAAATAACAACAGAAAGGTCATGTTCAAAATAAATGTTTATTAGGGGATTTCGGATTTAGATTTTCAGGCTAGAGATGTTCAACCAGTAAGTATAATACAAATATTCCAAAATCCAAAAAAATCTAAAATCTGACACATTTCTGGTCCCAACCATTTAAGAAAAGGAATACTCAACCTGTACTTGCTTGTTGCATTATGTCCAGGGTTTTTTAGTCATAAAGGGGAGGACCTGATTGGAATGTGGCTACCCCATACTGGCAGGATCAGAAGTTCTACTGAATATTATATTCAAAACTACTCCAACCTTCAACATGCATAAATTCAAAGACAATTTAAAATAAATTCATAGCCTATTTCTATTAAGGATTATTTCTTTTTTTTTTTTTTTTTTTTTGGT